GCCATTAGGGCCCCTCAACCAATTAGCAGCAAGAGGGCATGCAGGACAAACTGCAAGATTAAAGGAGCCTCTGTGCAGTGCATTTCTTCTGTGATTTCAGTAGGTCCCTACTTATGAAGAGAGGCTGAGGGATCTGGGCTTATTTAGTCTGGAGAAGAGAAGACTGAGGGGGGAATTTAATAACTGTCTTCAACTACCTGAAGGGTCCTTACAAAGAGGATGGAGCTAGACTGTTTTCAGTGGTGACAGATGACAGAACAAGGAGCAATGGTCTCAAGTTGCAGTCAGGGAGTTTTAGGCTGGATATTAGAAAAAAAAAAAATTACAGGGAGGGTAGCAAAACACTGGAACGGGTTACCCAGAGAGGTGGTGGATTCTCCATCCTTGGAGGTTTGTAAGACCTGGGTGGACAAAATCTTGGCTGGGATGATGTAGTTGCGGATTGCCCTGCTTTGAGCAGGGGGTTGGACTAGATGTTCCCTTCCAACTCTCATTGTCTATGATTCAATTCCCCATGCTGAATGGGCAGGGGAACCTCAACTTAGGTTCAAGTAAGTATGGTATTTAGCAGGGGTCAAGCTCATCTGACAGCAGGCAGAATTAGTGGCACAGGGCTGGTCCACAGGCAAGATGAGTGGCATAGAGCTAGTCCGGAGGCCAAATGAAGCCCGCAGATGAGTCCCACATGATGGATCCAGTGCACTAGGCTCATCCACTGCAGGTGCTGCTAGCACCCTGGACCAGCCCTGTGTGCTGTTAGTGTTGTAAATGTTTCGGACCTGGTTCTGTATTCCATGCACGCACTAGAACTGGCCCTGCACACCATGTGGAGTGCACTCTGGAACCAGCCTCACATACACCACATGTGATGTGCGGGTCTGCTGCAAGACCCACAGGCAGCACAGCGGGCTGGATGATGGGGATGTGTGGGTCAGGTCTGGCCTGCAGCTCATATCTTTTACACATCTTTTTTGGTATATATTCATTGTAGCAATCTGAAAAATGAAGAACAGTGTATTGTCTTGTCTAGTACAGAGTCATCCACTGGAAGAACTGTAAGCAAAAAAATGACAGAGAAACAAACAGAACTCTATTTAAATCAAGTACAGTATAACCTCATAAATCTGGCGTGCTCAGGACCAGGCACCTGTCAGAAATCTGAAAATGTCAGATTTTTTAAATTGGCGCAGCGGCTGGTTGTGGAGGCCGGGGGCAGGGAGTAGCAGTGGCTGCACGTGGAGTGGCACCACGGGGTAGTGAATGGAAGCGGCAGCTGCCGCATGCAAGCTTCCCCATCTGCATTTGGGGTGGGGGGAGTGACGGCTGGTCCTAGAGCGGCGGTGGGAAGTGCCATATTCTGATAATTCCAGATTTTTTATATCTGGATTTATGAGGTTATACTGTATTTCAAATCAATGTAATGGCTCTCCCTGCTGATTATAAGGTTTTTCCACTACTGGTTTACTGAAAGCACTTTTTGTAGTTACTACAAATCAGCTAACGGCTTCACTTTTTCTGGTTTTACACTTAGTAGGATATGGATGTCATTCAAACACATTTTTCTTTTCGTGAGTACGTAGACATATCTGCCACAGGCCAAGTTACTGAATGAAAGTCAGAGGCTTGAAAAATAATCTCAGGTACCATGGCTGAGCAAATCCATCCTACAGGAAAACCCTGGAGCCATTTGCTGATGAGATGGTTATTACAGATTTGCACATTATTTCATACCACTGGAGCAATGAACAAGGGTAAAAACAAATGTAAAGTCACATTTGAGGTTATTCTAATAGATCAAAACCTGGGACAAAAGAGCAGAATAGCCTTTTACACACATACCTTGTCCCTAAAATGAATGGCAATTAACTCAATTTAGCCATGATTTTATGGGGAAGATTATCATCTCAGAAACTTCATGGGTCATGAAAATGGCACAATGGGCTCGTAAGTCCACAGGATCCCAGGATAAAAGGTTTTGGGAGAAATCCAGTGTCTGTTTTTATCCGTACATCATACCACAGTATCTCATACCACCTGGCTTCAATGAACTACCGTGACTGAGTAAAATTAAAAACCTTGAGATTTTTAGGATACAAAGATACTAAACAGAAGCTCCCCATAGTTTTCTGCACCAAAATATCTAGCCTGGTCAATATGCATTTTCTGTAGAAGAGCAAAATTAGATTTTTCTTAAACACTTCTTAGAAAGATAATGATTTCAATACAAATTTGCACTTTCCTATCTTTACCTGATAGCAGAAGTTATACTAATATGTTTGGACAACATAGGGAATGCTTTTTAAATCACTCAAGTTTAGAAAGGCAAGGATTTGTTAGGAAAACCTTTTTTGGACCAACTATGTAGGGATAAAGTTAGACAAGCTTTTGAATGCATGGCATTCTCCATCAGGTTGTTTGATATCATCCATGTTACAGTAGCATAAGAGTGAAGTTGTAGACATGGTTAATGGACTACACAGCTATAACATAATTCTCACACTACCATAACATTTAGAGTCATAGTTGTTTCCTGTTATACTATACGTACACATACCCACACAATTTAGATTGGCACTTATAAATTCATAACTTGTAAACTAAGATTGGTAATGATTAATTAACCAGTAGCTCCTATGACTATTATCAAATTATTATGAGAATTTTTTTCAGTTTTAGATGCCTAAAGTGAGGGATTTAAAAAAATGACCCAACTCTCTAAGGAAATTGCCATCTAGCTGACGTCACTGGGAGACTGCTGGAATTCTACACTTCTGTAAATTCAGACACTCATTTACATTTTTAGATACGTACTTCCTATGGAAGTTTGAAACTTTCTCAAAATAAACCCTGAAATTACTTTTTACAGTCTTTTACATAATTACACACACATATATATACACACACACACACCCATCCCCACAGAGCACATGCTTAATATATGCCATTTTTAGAACACGACAAGGAAAATTATAAGATGTGAGAAGTGAGCTATGATGGGGAGAAATGGTTCACTGCCTTGAATGTGTGAATTCAAAAGATGATGATGAATTACTCCTCTACTGATGCTGCTGCTTCTGCTGCCAGCAGTACTTTGTGCAGACAGCTATGAATTTCATTATAACTCAAATATAATCAACTTGTCATGTTTCTAATGGTCTAATTAAATTCTAGATACCGATTTGAATATTATGTAAATTTCTTATGGTTGTAGTTCTTTTCTGCCTTTCTGAAATGATTGCAAATATTATAATTTGGTCTTTAAGGACACATCATCATCCATAACTCAAATTCACAATATAAAAGGGAAACGTACTGAATTATACCTAGCAGCTGACAAAATTGATAGTTGGATTCTACACTACCTATTAGAGTTCATTTCAAAATTTCCAGAACTGATTAGAGTTTTTGTATTTGAGAAATATTCTGAGAAGCAAAGAGTTTCATTTGCAAATTTCAAAAATTGCATGGCAAATAATTTGAATGCACTTTAAATAAAAGCTCCACTCAGTTCTCCCAAATCAGCTCACTCTCTCTAATTTAATATACTACTGTTGTCATACAATTGTCTAAACATGGAAGTAAACAAAAATATATAACATTTTAGCTAAAAGACTCTATTGGCACCCAGAGATAAAAAAAAGGTTACATAAATGCAGCTTTTAAAAAAAAGTAAGTCCAACAAACATCACTTTTCATTAAAGAGTGTTTTAAAATTAAACCAAAATAAAACTAAACTAAAGTATTCAGTTATGAACAAGACTGTTTTTTTTAATTAATAAGATGTAAAGTATTTATCCATGTTTGTGTCCTGGGTAGATTTATTATTTTAAAATGCATTGAATTCAAGGAAGCAAAACCAAACGAAATATCTTTGCTCTATTAATCAAATTAGGATTGTATGAATTCTACAGGATAACTGAAGCACACTAATAGCTTTAGCATCCTCATTCATTCACTGTAATGTGGTTATATCTGTATGATCTATAGTGAGCAATAAAGAAATAAAAAAGTGATTTTTCTTATCCATCTTGGATTATGGGTTAGGAAGTGAAAGCAGTCCTCTGGAGCAGAACAGAAGCTCTAAAAATCTTTCATCCTGTCTTATAAATAAGGTTTTGAAACATTATACATTTTTTCAGTAGAGTAACTCCAGCTTTACAATGGTAGGAGATCAGAATCAGGGCCCAGAGAGGCAAACTGTAGGCTTGGGAACAACAATATGCAGGGTCTAGCACCATCAGAGGCCTTGGACATTACATTTGTAGCATTACAAAAACATAGCATGTGCATACCAATACGTTCAAGTGCCTGCAGAGCCCTTCAGCTGGAGAGCTATAACATTGCCTCAAAGCATGCTCTCCAGCCATGGGAGAATAGAGGGGAAGCAGCAGAGGAGCACAACCGGTCTGCCGCTGCGGTGGTTGTTACATAGCACCACTGAAACAGAGCCACTCCACCAATCTGTTGTTTGGTGGAGCAACTCTTTAATAGCTGCTGTGGCCAGTAGAAATGCTGCACCATGCCTGAAGTTCACTGATAGGCTTGCCCCATTAACTTGCCACTCAAAGCCATCCATGGGGTCCACTACCACAATGCCCCTGCCATCACTGTTACCCTGTGGCACCAGTGAGAGTAGGGACTGACCTGGGAACAGTGAACCCCAATCAGCTTCTGCTCCCACTACCTGCAGCAAGGGTGATGGGAACTTTAAAGGGCTGTTGGTAACACCTGTTTAAAATTTCTGGTGCTTTAATTGGCTTCTTGTGTTCAAGCAATAGCAGCCCTTTAAAGTTCCGAGGTTGCAAACATGCTCCCCCCCTTGGTGCTTGGATGCAAAAGTGAAACGACTCAGTGAGCCCCGCTGTGGCAGCAGGAGCTCATTAAGATGGGCTCCACCCCCTGATCAGTTCTTGCTGCCACCACTGCCAAACTGATGATGCCTTGTAAACATCCTTTACCCTCACTGAAGAATGGAGCAGTATTTAGTATTTTGGTCATACCTAGATTGCCCTTAGTCTTCACCTTATCTTCTGTATATTGAAGTTTCATTTCTTCTTTCCCGGTTATCAACAGGTGAACTGAAAAAAAGAATTTCCATCATCATCAAAAGTTTTCATCTTGAATACTCTCTATAGTCACATTGATAAACTTGACCCCGCTTTCTACTGTGGAAGTGCCCAGAATAACCAATACTACTTTGTAACACTTACAACATGACATGAGTCATAGGTTAAAGTTCCTGCTCTGCTTGATTTGGAGGTGACTTGAACCTGGGTCTCTCAAATCTGAAGTGGCCAAATGTTGCGGAACAAAATATAGGACATAGCCACAAATGTTCCAGAGACTTCCAGAAACAGAAATCTACTCCACTTCTGCATCTACTTAATGGAGATACCTTAGCATAGTTCTGTGGTAGATTCAACATTGCATAACTGCTGTTATACTTCCCATTGAGGGTGTATCTCTGGGAACAGGAAGCAATAGAGTTGTGTTCCAACAAGGCCAGGCCGACTTAGGTTGCATCCCCTTAGTAAATGTAGCAGGATACTGTCTGGCATCAGCCCAGGACTAATTAATTCAGGACAGCACTCCCATTTCAAGGAGTCACTAGCATCAGGGCACATATAGGGGTATCAGGGGACACTGTGCCAAAATTTGGAACTGTCCTGGAAAATTCAGTAGAGTCAATCCCGTGAGTGCCCTTAATCAGCTATTCAAGGATGTGCATTTGTCTCTCTTCACAGAGTACATCAAAAGGTGTCAGTTTCATTGCAAGACAAAAAATATCAAAGCCTCAACATTTTTGGCATAATGACAGTTCTATAGTCAGAAAAATTAAAATATATATTGAATTATACAGACCTACTTCCGTTATTTAGTAAATAATACTTACTCAATAAGCATGTCATGGTAGTAAATATAGTTAAGGCCGAGAAAAGGTCCAAGTCTGAATTTCACTGGGCACATCTACACGAGATGTTTACTGCAGAAATTAAAATTAGCTACATAGTAATATCACTGTCTATATGTGCAACCCTAGTAGACTAATAAATGCCACCACAGGGTAGTAGGGCTAAACACAAGTACTACCCTGTGGCAGTGTTGTTTCGTGTGCCACAGCACATGTAGACTATGCTGGCTACTCCAGCGGGGCTCCATGTGCTGTGGGTGAGGCTGGCTGGGGACATAAGGGCACTTCAGTGGGGGGCTGCCTGCCAGCTAGCCTTGCACTGAAGCACCCTCATGACTCAGCCAACCCTCCTCTGTAGTACGTGGAACCCCACTGGAGCAGCCCTGGGCTGGCAGGCTGATCCCTGGGTCCCCTGCCAGCCCAGGCTGCTCCAACCAGGCTCCATGTGCTGCGCATGAATACTCTGGAGCAATATGCTCTGGAATTTTTTGCTCCTGGGAGCAGGTTCTAATAGCACCCCTGGGGGCAAAAAAATGGAGCAATAACTCTAGAGTTTATTTGTGCACATTAATTGCATGTGTAGACATGCCCACTAGCTTCTAACCTTGAGTGAACACAGTTCTCTTTGGGATGAAATTTTCATAAGTGATCTCAATTCAAAATAATTTTCTTTAGTTAGAATCAAGTAAGATCAACTGCTTAAGCAAGAGGAAAATCAGATTCCTCAGATTTTTCTTATCAGAAATATGCATATTTGAAAAACATGTGGATATGTTTCCAGGATAGAGTCATTATAATGCTTGAAGAAACTTGGTTTAACATTGTTAAATATACAATTTAAGTTTTCTTTTCTATGTGGGTTATTACTAAAAGCATCTAAGAAAGTGATTATGCCAGTCAGGAAACCTCACAGTTCAGAATCAGTTACAAATGAAATCCAATGTGTACACACTGGAAACGGTTGTTACTAGGTGTATTGCTGCAGGCAAGTTTACTCAGAGCCTCCAATGGGAGGCATTTGCCCTACCTGTAGAGTAGAATCTTAATCCTCCTTGTCCCCAGATAGCCAGGAAATAAATGGCAGCGTGCACTTTCTGCTCTTCAATTTCCTCTCAAATGAAGCCTTATACTGCATGTAACTTTGAGAAACAGAATCCAGGATGCCAATGTGTTTGTAGATAATACAACTTGAAGAACTCTACTGGTAAGTATATATTTTTTTCCTTCCAGTAGTTGTCTACATACACATCCTCAAAGTGGGTGACTCCAAAATAATGCCCCCCATACATGGAGTGGGATCCACCAGCAATGGGTCTTGGAGTGTGGTAGGCCAGCCGATATGTTGCAATTCTTGATGTAGCTTCTGATAGGCATTGCATAGGTAAGCTATGGAAGTGGCTCTATCATGGTGAAGTGGACCTGTATCATAGAAAGTGGCTCCATCTTGGAAGTCTCACAGCAGTTTCATACAGCCCAAAATCCAGTTGGATAGACTCTGGGCTATGACTGTGGTTTTCATGTCTCAACTAGCAAAATAAATAGCTGTGAAGACTTCTAGAAAAGCATAAACACATGAAAATAGGTAAAAACTTTACATCAGAAAGAGCAAATCTTGTTAAGAACTCTTAAAGCTAATCTGTTAATAGGTGAAATTCAGAAACCATCTCAAGCAGAAACTTTGGGTGGGTTCTCAAAGAAATTTTACCTGGATAGAAGCAGGCATTAGGAGAAACCACCACGAGGACTAATTGCTGAGGTAATTACTACAAAGAATGATGGGTTTTTTTTATGAACAGATGAAGAAGGGAGCATGTTGCCTTGGGCTCAAATGGCAATTTCATCAGCGATATGAGGACCTGATTCAGGACCTCTGAGGAAACTTTAACTGGACCACTGAGGAACTTGAGTGAAAACAGCTCAACAGAGTAGCTACCATTGCAAAAGGTATGGAAGGACAAGAAGGTATGAAGGGCACAGATCTATTTACTTTATTTAGCTATTTCACCATTGTAACTCTACCAGCCTTTGCCTATTACTTGTCCACTTTGCCCATATTCTCCTGTCTCCCCTTATGCTTACCACATGCTCCCTGGAAATATTCATATAGCCAGTACTGTCTTCAAATCCCTGCATGACTCATTTCTACTATAATACCAACAGATCACTGTAATTTGGTAATGACTACGTAGATGAAAAGCTACATCACATGCACACCTGTAATAGAAAAGTAAATACAGCAATTATGTACTTTTGAACCTGTTAATTTGCTTTCTTTAACTACTGGTTTCCTCCTCAGTTGCTGTGACAGGTAGAACGATGAGTAGTCAGCATCTGAGAGTTTCTCAATCTCTAGGTTTCCCTTTCTCCACTTTGATTCTAGTCTCTCTCTAAGAGGGAATGTATCTGGGTACCATATGGATTTTCCTTATTGCCTCTACTCCTCCTCTGCTTCCAGAGCAGGAGCAGGGCAAAGCATAGGCACATGGAAAGTATAGGCCAGGAGGGGAATGTTTCACAGAGCAGAAATTCCATTTTCTGACTAGTTTTTTTGTCTAGGGTAAAGTGTTCATGTCATATTCCTACTTTAGCAAAACAACTGTCCTTGCATTTTTCAATATGGAAGTATGCATGCCAATGCATACATACACACACACGCATGTACATGGACCCACTCTTCTGCTGCCTGGCTCCATATTTAGCAGGCTGTTGAGGCTCTAAAAACACTCAGCCACTTCTGCCCAAGTAAAAGTCTTGTCTGAGTAATTAATTGGAAGTTTCATGGTTTAGTTGTGTCAAAACAGTAACTCTCATTTTGACTTTTTTTTTTTTTCTTTTTTTTGTGTCTAACCACAAATTCAGAACACAGTCTGGGGGGTTTTAGTCCACAGTGCCTTAGCAGCAGCTGTTGAAGCTTACCAAAAAACTATGGTTATTTTTATGCCTTTCCCTTCTGTCCTTACTGTTACACACAAAATTAGCATAAGCAGAAAATTCAAAGCAAGAGAAACTGGGCTGAAGGGCAGTCTAGGTAAGGAGTGAAGGACCTCACCCACTCTGTCCTTATCAACTACTGCTCATGCCTCTCTAAGCATGGAAAACCAGCACCACAATCTACCTTTTGTGGATGTGGGGGATACTACTGAATTTAACCTATTTCTTTGGCCATGGTATGAATACAGGCAGTTAGAGGAATTACTACAAACTCCCTGCACTCTCATGAACACTGTACCCAAGTTAAGAAGGTCCTCTTGCTTCAGCCAGCTTGATTAATCAATTTAAGTCTTTCCAATTTCTTCTTCCAGTAGCTCCTCCAGTTTGAACTACTCACTCTTCAAAATTGAACATCTTCATAGTACCCTGCTTGAGAGAGTTCAGACAGGAGCTTTGAAAATGGGGATAGGGCATAGTTACCAGAATCTTCAGCACCATCACCTGATTGTATTGCACTGTCATGATGCTCTTTTCCTTTGATGCTTCATAAATCCATGGAATCCTGCCCTCCACAAGATGATCAGAGATTGTCCAACACATTTTCTGAATGTGTTGAAAACACAAATCAATCTAAATCTTCTCCATGACACACTGGAAAAGTCCACACTGGACCAACCAGTCTTAGCTAAAGACTGGCCTGCTGAAGTTAGTTATCAAAATGATTGTATAGCAAGATGCATGGCAAAAGACATTACAAGCATTTTAAAACACCACCCTCATAACTTAGTCAAATAATTAGTCCTCTGGAATATGCTTATGCAAGAAGAACCCCAAAAGAAAACACAAATGAACACAGGCCAGCGTGGAAAATCTAGTTGAGGGAACTAGTGTAAAATTAGCAATCTTTAGGAATTTAACATGAAGTGTGTTTACATATTGTATAACTTGTGATAGTCTTCAGAAGTTTGACACAAATTCCTTTATGGTAATTTGATTTTAAGAATACCCATTATTGCAATCAAATAGCAAGCCACAGAATTCTACATTTAAATCCTGAAGGGACTGTCCAGAAGCTTGATTAAAAAACAAACAAACCATGTTCATACCAAATAAAGAGAAACTCCAATTGGTTTTTATTAGATTTTAACAGACATTGCAAAAATATTGCATGATTTAAAACAATATTTTAAACAAGGTAGTAATGTGGCATCAGATAAAGGACAAAGAATGGAACAGCTATGTAAGCTATAAGGGAAATACAAGGGAACCACGTGATATGGAAAATGAGAGGTATATTTTTAAAATCCAAGGGCAAATATGAACAAGCAGCCAAGTTTTGACAGACTGACTACATACCACTGATGTTTTACAAACTGCATAGCAGTGTAAAATAAATGTTGTTATCCTAACTATGTATTGTATTCCTGCATCTGGAACAGTTTACAAGGCAAAGATTTTGTTTACAGCATTGATATTTTAATAGCTCTGGATTTTCATAAAAATAAAAAGTAACACAATGAAAATGCCAGTATCTACATTTGAAAACAAAAGTGCATGTATTGAAAATGTAGTGTTATCTTCAAGAAGAGGAACATATTTAGTATTCAACACACCTATTTTAACAAATGAGGACAACGGATGGTGCTTTAGATGCATAGTTGCACTGTGTTACAGGCTAAATTCTGTCAACATGAGCTCCTGCAATTGCAGTACCCTCCTCTCTCTAGACACCAAGAGCACCTCTTCCCAGCCCAGTTCTCCTATAAAAAAAATCATGATTCTGATTTACCCATTCTTTAAAAAGAAGATGTTGGCTGGACAGTCTGGGTTCTTCCACTCTGACAACTCCGGTTTCTCCTACCTGTACCGGAGAGATACAGAACTGAAGTTTATTTCTCTTGGTTTTTAGTTACCTAGTATTACAATTTACCTAGAGTGCCAGAAGGCATGAATCCCTCTATCTCCAGCTAAACCCTGTTTCTTTGTCCCAACTAGTATATCCATCCATGTTCCCATTAGCCACCACCATGGCTGTGTGGAAAATTACTACAAACTGAAAACTTCTGTAGTAGGTTCTCTCTCAAAGTTTCCAAGCAGCCAAGGTGGAAAGAAAAAAAAATATAAAGAGAAGACACATGATCCCAAAATCCAGGAAAAACTTTTGCTTGAGCTCTTCAACAGTTTCACCATATGGCATTGCAGAACTGGATTTGTTTTCTTTCTGGAGCATCCTTAGCATTCTGGACAGAGAAAGGCAGCAATTGTTTAGCTGGATTGTACCCAGCATGGGAAACACACAGATACTGCAATTGTGAACTGTTGCCAGGGTAGCCATAAACAAGTGTCTATTACAGAAATTACAAGCTTTAAATCTAGTCATTTCTGTAAACATCCTCCTTTTAATAGTTTCTTGTTTTTCCTAAAGTGGAAATACATACTGTATTTCATTGTTCCAAACACTGGTCTATCTGCATTAGCTTGCAGCACAGTTATTAAATGCAACAGGCTAGCAACACCCATACCAATTCAAACAAGTCTGAAAGTCACTTTGAGATAAGCTATGGCAGTTTTGCTATTATGAGGGCATTTTTCATAGCATGTGTTTCCTGTTCATAAAGGCTATACAAGTTCTCTCATGGAAGACAGAGGAAACAATTTGGAATTGTTCATTTAATCAAATATGCGGGTGAACACGCATTTAAGATATGCCTTATGCAATTAATGGATTCTGTCTCATCTTATGAAGATGATACATTTTGATACTCTTAGGCAACTTAAAATGTCCCCCAGTAAGAGTAGCATTTTACTGACAAATTAACAGAAAGGAAAGACAGTATCTTACACAATGCCATAAAACAAGTAAAGCCCTTTCATTAGCTGCATTTTAAATCTACAGTTGTTTATTACATACTTCCAATTCCTGACTAGAAATAGTTTCGTTGAAGCATTTTCTCCTTCGTCAACTATAGGAGCAGGGGAATTGGAAAACTATTTTAACTCAAATGCCAATCTAGGTGTACATCAAGGGCTAATATTTCATGGTTTTAACTAACAGTTTTGCTGCCAAAAGTGAAATAATAGTTCCTAAGGAAAGCAACCTTTGCTGACTGTTCAAAAGGAAGCTGTGCTAAAAATTAATCTGCTGTAAATCAGAGTTCACTTAGATGATTGCTACAATTTTAAAAAAATGCACATCCTAGGTCACTTGTGTGTTAGCTAGGAAGAGCACTAGAATACTGACTATATTTTAAGAAAACTTCACAGATATGCTTATAAAATTATGCATTTGTCTGAGACACCCATTACAAAATTTGGAATTATTTTCAACTTTTGAATATTTAGATCATAACTTGTTAAAAAAGTCCAAATGCATAAAGTGTGTTTGGTCAGGAACTTCTCTCTCTACAATTCAAAGTTTTCCATCTGAATGTGCAGATCTTTTAAAGACCATTTCTGAAAAGTTATTAATTCAACAGAACATGGGCACCAGTGGATCAGAAAACACACCTTAGGGATTTTTTTAAAATTATATAAGTTAGATAAAACTACCCTGTCCAGCAAGTTCCATTTTTTTTTTCAAACATTAAGGCAACTTCCATTACTTTCAACTAATCAACATTATAAAAAATAAATGTCACTTCAAAACCTTATATACATAGTGACAGAGTAGATTTAACTAGAAATTATCTTTAGTACATTAATAAAGTGTCACGTAATATTACACAGAGGTTATATCAGGTGCTTGAGTGTATGTGCAAGTGGAGTGACTTCTTAAATTTAAAGTACAGGTTTCAAGACAGATCGTAGTGAACGTCCTTCTTTAGTAAGTTCTCGTGTTACACACATACATGGCAGTGGGACAGCCTCTTCCCTTCTCTCCACAGCATTATAACTGCATTTTTTCAAGTGGTCTGCCATGCTCACGATGTCAGCAAATTTCCACTCGTTCACGGTACAAAAGGCTGTACTGAATCGCCACACCTGGAAAACAAGTTATACTTGGCATCAAACTGGCTTATTTTATAGCGACTCAAAGAATTGCAACAGCAAATACTTCATTTTGTGATAGAGTAATTTGCTCTACCGAAAATCAACATTACCAGTTCTTACTGATCACTAGTTCCAATCAGTTTGAACCAGTCTAAATTTCAGATTCAGTTTCCCATCTGACTCTGTAGGGTGAGCATTAAAGACAAGTAAAAACCATAATTTCATTTGTAAACTGACTATATTTTATCAGGAAGTTACAGAACAAAGAAGTTACAGGTATGACTTTAAGTGACAGTGAGGACCTGACTGTCAGGCATCTACTGAGATGTCTACTGCTGAGATTCTACAATTCCAAATACAGCAAAAGGAGGTTGTAAGCATTCTGAACTTCTGAAAATGTAGCTGCCAAGTTACATACCTCATAAACATAACTTGAATGTCTGCTTGTACTGAGTCCTGCGACCATCACACCAAGACCTTCGACGTGTGTGCCTAACCAAGGGTACGGAGGAGTAGAGGCTGCCCAAGACCTACCATCCCCCCTTTAGATCATTGAGACAGAATCCAAAGGCCAAACCAAGTCCAGATATTTAGTGCCTCAATGGTTGTAGCTTCTATCAGAGAGCAACAGATAAGAATGGCTGCTGACTGCCTAACACATCAGCGAAGGCGCATTTCTGCCAGGGTGATGTCCCTTAGCAACCAAGAAGTCCCATGGTTGCAACACTGGTATTTTATAGGAGCTACACGACAACATGCAGGCCCACCAGGCCCTCCAGTCAGATGCAGTTTACAGTCATACCCAGGACCAATTAAGGCATTAAATACGATGATAAGATGGTTTATAACTATGTGAAATGTACTTTCCTCTCTTTGAGATGTCTAACACCACAAATGAAATTCCCAGTTTCACACAAATTAACTGCAAATAAAGCCACAGCAGCAGACAAATTTTGAGAAATTTAAGTTTTTTCTCCATCACTACAAATCTATTATTTTATATATTTTCATGGCAAAAAGACAGAGGTTAGCTCAAATCCTACTCCCTCCCACTGCTACAAATATGGTGAATGTGCACAAAAGTTAATAGCTGGTTAAAGTAGAACCTTTTTTCAAGAAGACGCATGGAATACAAGGGATTCCAAAAGCTGTCTTTTCACAGAGACATCATGTCAAACAGTAAAATATACTAAGTTACAGAAAATATATACAAATATTTGGCCCATTTAACAACTTTTTCCCATCCATCCCCACTCCCTACAAAAAATTAAGTTACCTTTTCTTTTATTTGCCATGAAGAACTTCCATCTGGATACCTTCTCTTTTCCCAAAGCAGTATGACCATACCACGTGCCTGAAGCAAACTTCCACATACATCTCGCATTAATCGTGACACTCTTGAAAGCTGACACAGACTAAAGCCATCTAGAAAACCAGCAATATGTTGTAGAACTTCAAAAGGAAGACTACTCAGATGGTCATTACGCAGTCCAATGATGCAGCTTTTAGCTGGTTCAACTAATACCGTAGATATGCAAGGCTGAACTCCAAATGACCTTAAATGGCGGTCATGTATAATCTTTGCCCCTTGCGCTGAAGGGCAAAATCTACGTTGAGAGTATGTACACCCATAATATGCCAAAGGACACCTCTGCTCCATCCAGCCATTAAGGCCAGCATGAATGTCACCATGCACATTCTTAAAATGTGAAGAAAATTCATTTCTCCTAAACAACTGTCCACAAACAAATGTAAACATTGAACGCTGTTTTGTTTGGTATCTAGCGACACATTCCAGTACTAAGTCCAGCCCAAGTGTTTGGAAAGGACTTGGATTTGAGAGCTGTGGGTTGGCATGATCACATGCAGAAGCTGATGCTATTTCCCCTACCATTGTATTAGTGGCTAATATTGCAGAAGGAAGAGAGAATGTTTGAGTTCCAAAATCAACATGATATCCATCGACAATGCGACTATCAGATATTCCCCTTCCACCAGGAGAGTCTCCCAAACAAAACAACAAAGCTGCTGTGATTAGATCTATGCCCTGAAGACCCATAGGGTCTTCTGTTATTTCCAAATCTGAGGTATCAACAGCTTTGTCTTCTTTTGGCGTAGACCAATAGTGGTGAACAAGGAAACTGTATGATCGATGCCTCATTAAAGAAAACACATCCACATTTCGCAATCTTTCTTGCTCTACTTGTCTTTCTAACATCTCTTCTTCACTAACATTACAGGGTGGTAGCAGTATATGACTAACAGTGCCATTAAGCAAGCTGTCCGGTGGTATTACTTCTCTAAGCTGTTGTGTTGCTACAGAAAAAGAGCTGCAAGTCTTCAATGCTCCATCATCAGAAGATGCAATACATTCACCATTTGCTACATTACATGATTTTGAATCAGATATATCAAGAATTTCATTCTGGTCCAACACCTCTGCACTTACGTTTTCCAAATGGAAGCCATTACACAGCCCTGAAGAATTATTAAGATTCAAATTCAAGTCATGTTTTTGTACTAAATTGTAACAAAAATCACTCGAGCCATTTTGTTCTGATTGTGAACTTTGACCCAAGACATCAAAGTCAATTCCACCAACTGCTCCTAAATTATCCTCATCTAGATATTCATGGGCCGACTTTTCACTCTGCATACTTCCATTAAAAGTTTGTTCTTTAATTTGGATATCTTCTTTCATCTCATATGGAGAGATACAGAGTCTTGAACTTAACATGCTTATATCTCTTGTAGCAGTGTTTAGGATATCTAATGCAGCAGCTAAACTCTTTGTTGTTTCTACAGTAGCCTGATATAGTGCACTATAAGAATCTTCATCAGCAGGCAGTAAACCATTTGAAAGTGTTGCAGCAGGGATACTTGATTTAACTGAAGGTGGTTCTCTGGGTTCTGGTATTTGATTGGCTGTTTTTGACATCATTGTTGCTACCTTGAGGGATTCTAAAAGCATGCGCTGGTCTTGAAGGGCTAAAGCCATGTCTAGCTGTTCCACTTCATCAACATCTTTACTTAGATTTTCATAAGATTTCCGATCTGCATAACTGACAGGCCATCTATTCCATTCCATAGTACAACATACTACACTTGCAGGACACATCTCTAGATGTTCAGCAATTTTGTTTCGGGCTACAATAAAAGGACATCCAAAGCCACTATTCAAACAAGGCACTCTTTCAAGTGGACATAAAATGCGATGTTCTTCAGCTTTGCATGAATGAAAAACTGCTCCACAAACCAAGGGGCAGCCAATCAAGTCGCAGGAAACCCCAGTCTCTGGTCTAGTCATGCAACGCCGACTGATGCAATTTACACAGTGTAAATGCTGCTGATGTTCCTCCATGACTGCAAGCCCAGCTCTGAGTGAGAAGAGAAAGAGGACAAAAAACAAATTAATATGTTAGCTGACCAAAGTAATTCATTCAATATATAAAAATCATTCAATATGTTAGCTGACCAAAGTAATTATTTATCATTTTATGTTCTTGTTCTATAATATATACAGAATGCAAATGAACAATATACTGATTACTACCTATTGTTACAGGAATAAATGTACAATTTAAAGCCTCCTTTCTCCCCAAAAAGTTCCAGTCAGCAATTAGGGTTATTCACTTGTACTAGAGCTCTGCAAGGTGAACTTGGTGCCTTTACATACTTGGGCATGTGGGCTGTAGAGACCTGATAGAAGAACATTTATAACAGTACCCACCAGAATGCTTTTGTACCTTTTTCTACTTCTGAGGATGAGTCTATACATTCTAAGGTCCTAACTTATAATTAGGACTGTAACAACAACGAGGTGGAGAGAGAGTGTGAATGTGCAGAGTCTATCTTCAAGAACTCTGGTTATGAGTGAATAGAAAGGTGGCTAGTTTAAAAAAACCAAACCAAACCAAACCACACACACACACAAAAGCTGGAGGGGTGGGGAGGGTCTGGGGGCCTGATGTGGCCCTGAGCCATTTATCCAGCCTGCAGATTAGTCTTGCACCACCAGATGAGTTTAACACCCATGACCTAACCTCTTTAGTGTCCATATTGTTTAGTGACTTTCTGAACATTTTTTTATGGAGAAAGCAAAAGGTCTTGACATCCAACATTTGGAGTTTCATTTCAAGAAACTCCATGATAATGGGTTCTGGGAAAAATTATTGGCAGAGATATTGACTAAGATGAAAAATTTTACTTGGATAAAAATTTAGGGTGGAGATGGAAAACAGATATGTCCTGCAGAAAACCAGATGTTATGGCTAATAGTGAATGATGTTTTGATCAGTGAGTCAAAGATGACACATTCAGATGTTCAAATGCAGGCTTCCTAACATGAATATGGACAAAATTGATGTCCCAATATTGATCTGGTTCACTGTTGGATACCTGTTTGCTAATGTCTTTACCATGTTATTATTACTTCCAGAATGAATCATTGGCTAAAAAACCAGAGGGTTTAACTATTGGTGCCTCCTAAAATAGTCATCTTAGGAGCCTGTTGAAACCTACCTGGAGTAAAAGGCTATAGACTGTGCACTATGAAGAAGAGTATCCTTTTCCCAAGAAAGTTGGTCATTTTTTATAGGTGATCAATTCAGGGAACAGAGAAGAACAAGAGGTTCGACCTCTTAAATACTGGCTTCTTCCTTTCTGATCCACTACAGGACCCATAAAGAAAAAAGAAAAATATTTTTATAACACTAGAATGAGCTAGCCAGGCTAACTAAAATCTAGCTAACGTACTGAATCTTTGCCAAGACTGATCCATCACAGATCCAATCTGGAGAGGTTCTTGGTCTGCTGCTACAGTCGTCCCTTTTAGAGGCCTCCTCCAGAGCATGTAGGCACCCCAAGGGCAAGGGCACTTGCCTGGAACATGCCATCAGACCTGCACTACCAGTACCTCCCAGGAGTGGCTTACTGAAGAAGTTAAGTTAGTTTAAAGCGAATCTCAAATAAAATCTGTGGGCTGGCAATGTCCAAGGCACTTTTCTCATGGCTAAGTCTGGTATAGCAGTCTTTCTGTCGACCATTACCCTTTGTACATGGTAGCTTACAGTGTCACCCCCTTCAGGGAAACAAAAAAGCAAATTCATTCTCTTAAGTTTTCCTTCCACAACAGAGAGAAAATAAAGACCCATCCTCTCTTCCGAATTCCAGCCCAAGGCCAGGCGTTAAGTACATACCTTCCCTGGATTGCCTTCTATCTTCCCTGCTCAGTTGTCTTTTGTCTCCCTACCATGCTCCTTCCACTGCTTCTCTCAACCTGTATCTCTGAAGCCCCAGATCTTCCACCTGCTTTGCCTCCGTTCTGCTAAGACTGCAGCCTTTATATGACAAGTAGCTGTTAGCAGGCTGCTTGGTCACAGCTGAGGGAAGTAATTAGGCTCAAAATTAAAAAATGCTGCACCTTTATGAAAGTCTATGCTCAAAGCTCCAGTGCATGGGACTTTTACTATCCTTTCAGTGCCAGCAAAAACATGCACATTCCAATACGATTAGGCTAGTGCTACTTAGCATTTGTGGGAGCAACAAAGGAACTCTACATGACTGGAGCCTGTTCCAGAATAAAAAGCAGGTCAGATCATGTGACCAGTTTTATTTTGAAGCAGGCCCATTGTACCACATATTGGCACTGAGCACTTGGATTCTTAGTCTGGTACAGAGGGAAGAGGAAACAGCATTCTATTTCTCACCATCATGCCACTTGCATTGTATTTTGAGGGGATATTTCAGCTTCCTTCATTTAATTTGGTTTTATCCTCTTTTTGAAGATATCACTGAGGAATTAATTCAAATTTGAAGAGAAGAAAAAGCCAAATTTTTCCAGACCTTCCCTCCCCTCCTTAAAGCTGTTTACATTCATATATAAACTCATAAAATACTTTACTGAAAGAATAAACTAGTAAAGTAGTTAAAACAAGCTTAAATCACTAGTTTCTTCACAGACTTAAAGGAACAATGTCAAATCCAATTTACTTCCCCTCAGATTCACTACCTCCCCCAAATTAGGTTTTGTAAAAAGTCTGCCTAAAAAACCTAAGAAGGATAAAACTGAAATAGTTCCATGTTTGATTTTATTTCACTGGCAAATGAGAATTACCAAGCAGTGTTTCCAGCCCAAACATTGTGGAACTGTGCTACTCCAGAAGAAATCTGTAGCACAGGCAATTAGAAATAAACCAAACAAAAGTGAAGCGGATCATTATTATTTGTTGTCCAAGCTGAAAGGAAAGTTTTCATATTTTCCATTTTCAGTAACTTAAAGTGCTTTTGTTGCATATATTTAAAATCTCATTAAATAATTTTTTATACGATTCTCTAAGATTTCACATTTTGCCATTAAGAGCAATTTTAATGCCCCTTCTCTAAGTTGCATAACTCAAATGTTTTGGCCACCCCCTCTTCTGAACTCTTCTAACAAAGCAGCATGTGTTGCACTTGCTAGACAAAACAGTGGACTACTCTTCCCATTCTGAAGAATCTATTTTTATATGTATGCAACATATTACCTTCTCATCATATTTTCACTAAAATGCAATTTTTATCAGATTTCTTAGACACAACCTATTTTATCCCACAGATTTAGTGCCAACTTTGTGACAGTGTTCTCAAGCATTTTAGGCTTGATGCACCCCTTGGGAAAGGCCAGCTCTTAGTTTTCACTAGTTTTTTTTACTACAAAAAATAGTAATAGAAATTCATGTGTTGCAAAGAACTCTGAAAGATCACAACAGGTCAGAAGGTTTTTAACACGATGGATTCCTGTCTGAAATCTCTGGGTTCAGCCTGTTTGTACAACAGTACTAACACTGCGTGACACCCCACAGCACCTATGAAAGGATCTCATGGCACCCTGGTTGAGAATAACTGGTCTATAGCAATTAAAGCCAAAACATGTTTATTAAACTATCGAAAGGCAAAATTGGGGGCTAGGTTTATTTACTATTCTGCCAAAAGTTATTAAAAAAATTACTCCTGCACTTATATGTAAACTAAATACCAGTAAATTAAAATAATCTTTTTCACGGCTGTTGAAAAATGCATCCTTCCCCTTCTGATACTGTTGAGAACAAATGGGATTTTTTTTTTTAAATAAAGAAAAAAGTATTCCTCTTCTTTCTTCTAGTCCCCCTGGCAGAAGACCAAGATCTCTCATTCCCAGCCCAGGCAGTAAGCAGCTTGCAAATTGTTTCTACTTTTGAACCAAATAGAGAAAGTGCTAAATGGCAGAATTCCATAAAAAGATAGTCTTTTTGCAAGATTATCCCTGATAAACAGCTCATTTCCAAGCTCAAAAGGTAAGTTTGTTCTTGACTATTTTTCATGCCTGCTTACCAAACAAAAACAGTCTTACTAACAAGTTCTAATTCTCAATGACAACTCTCCACAACAAGGTGAGGAGGAAAAAATGAGGAGCAAGGAAGAGATGGGCTTCTGATGAAAGGCAAGTATTATTGCTGAGGTAGCAATAATATCGATGAGATAGTTGAGGAGAATTGTACTGCTCCTCTCTACTTGGGAGAAGAGATAGAAACTTGTATTGTCTCAACAGTTATTTTAAAGGTAAGCATGGAAGGGCCACATATATGCTGAATTTCTTCAGATCCTGAGTGCAGGCCTGGGCAGATTTAGAATCACAAGGGGTGGGTATGGCCAAACTGCCTTTGGCTGTGTGGTACATGCATGGTGAAGAGAGCTCACCGTGAATGCAGCACATGGCCAATGGAGGTGTAGTTGTACTACCTTGGCTGCAATCCTGGATGCAGTGAGCTCTCTCAGCTCACCAACATGTCAGCATGGGCTCCTGCCAGAAACTATGAACTCACCAGCTACTTAGCACAAGCTGTGGCCAGAGCCGAGGCACAGAGCTTCCACACAGCTGTGGAACCCAGGAAGCTGACTGCCACCACAGCTTATCCCCTTTCCCTCCGCTGCTAAATTCAGTGTACGGGGTCACTCTAGCATGGGTGTTGCATGCACCATGTGGGGCCAGAGCTGGTGCATGCAGCACTGGGAAGCCAGTCTAAGACCCACAGACAGCACCTTGGAGAAGATGACATGACTCCAGAGGCCAGATCAGGATGGCCACCTCTATCCTTGACAGCCCTCCATTAGGGAATCTAATGTATGACAAAAAGATGTACATATCAGAAATAAACAGTGTCCTTAATACAACAGTTGGATGTACATTTTCTGGGTTCCCAGACTGAAACTTCAAATATTGCTAGCAGGCACTGTATTAGTGCCAAATTAAACAATGTAGTAATTTATACTTATTAACTAAATGCAGTAATATATGTGAGGTTTTATATATATCTGCTTCTTAATATTTGATGCATTTTAAATGTCTCATATGTGTCTCATACATCCTTTTTCAATTCTCTCTTATTAGAGTTTCACAGGTCACAGTGTGTAAAGGCAAGACCCAATTTTGTCTCAGAGGCATTTATGCATTTGACTACTTAAAATCTAGGAGCCCTGCCCTACCAGAGCAATTTACTTTGGTCTCCTGTATGTACCTAGAACCCCAACAGTGTCAAAGTGGAGACCTGGGTGCCTTTGAAGTGATGAGTGTAGAGTCCCATGACTTGTGCAGTCTTGGGTGCCCTGGCCCAGCCGCAGTGGGATAGAGGTTACTCCCTCAGATCCTAGTCTATAACCCCGTGCTAGAGTGCTCTCCAAGGAAGTAGGAGATGAGGGTGTAGCGGTCCACAGGACCCAGTCTTAGAATCCAAGTCTCCGTAAATAAGTGATATTGCCACTAGACTAGTGTGCAAGTGGATCTCTGTCCCACAAATGCAGGCCATTTTTACATGTGCACTGGGACGCAGCACCAAGTGCTTTAATTAGCGAGCTGCGCTAATTAAAAGTACTCACATATCCCATGTATCAGCATCCCCACGCTGAAAAAATGTCAGTGCGGCTCTGAACTAAAGCTCACTGAACGTGTTTTATTTTAAAGCAGCCCCACTGCCATTTTTCCAGCAGAGAGTCACATGGGGCCGCTGATACATGTGATGAGGAAGGCTGCTGGAGCACTTCTATTTCCACACTCCAGCAGACTCGATTAATTACTGGATTTCCAGCGTGTCGGAGCAGGCTCCCCGCATATCTGTAGGAGCCCCTAAATTTCACATATTAAGATTCAAATTGATACAGGATCAAACTGAATCTAGCCATTAAATATTAGTTGCTGTTGTTCTTAACAGAGCAACTTAGAATGCTTCTTAGCTGTGCTATTAAAAAACTGCAAATGGAGTCAGTAGACAACACTACAAATTCACCAAAATTCTCTGTGCTGTACAGAGTTTAAACTTGGGAGCACTAGGTGATAAGATTTGTCAGTGGAACATTTTATTTGTAATTTATTATGCAGCACTGGATCTTTTCAGATGTTCTTTTTATGCATTTATTTTAACTGCTACCAATTAAAACAATTTACTGAACACTATTGTCCAGGTAGTTTTTAAAAGCATTGATAATTTGGGTTTTAAAATGGTTCAATAATAGTTTCTAAGCAATCATAACCTTATCAATATTTTAATACAGTTATGCAGAACACAGATTGTTTAAGTTAAGGTTTATACTTCTTCCAATTACAGAATTCAAATTTTAAAGCCACATACATTAATTTTAAGAGTAATCAAAATGCATGAGAGAGACATTACTTGTCACTGTAACACTTACAATTAACTTTACAAGTCAGTACTCTATGAATCTCCGTATTTTTACTATTTTGTCCTTTTCATGAACTGGTTTCCCTCATATCTTTCATTTAATCCAGCAAGTAAATGTTTTATTGCACTTATTCTACATTTAAGAGACTGCAGCATTACATTTATCATTACTACTTAGCTGAAAACAGGGAGAAAGACCTTATTTAAACACTACAAGTTAACTTATTTAAAAAAGGCAAAAAAAGAGGAAGAATTTTCACTAGAGGGCACCTCAATATTTAACCTGGTATGAAAGGTGTTCTTTAAATAGTAAAATAAAATTCAAAGAATAAACACTCAAAGAGTAATTATTTTACAATGGTGTGAACGGTCTAGAGAAAGCATCGAACATTATTTGCAATTAAAATATGTACTGAAAATTATTGATTTATTTTACCTTAGACAAAACTAATTCTGTACTAGTACTTTGGTAAGAAGTTATATGTCAAATCAGTGACTATATCCAGAAAGAACAGCTGTACTTTTCTGGTTATGTAATGTCAGCAACTAGGTTCAGTTCATTTGAGATGCTTAAGTATCCAAGCTTGACTGTTACTAGCAGAGAAAACTAAAAATACATCCAGTTCCAGTGAGGTGACCACTGCTCTCAGAATTTGTAGGATCACTTGATGTTATTGTACATGCTATACAGTCAGCTGACCAAATCTGCCAGAACAAGCTTTGAAAATCTGTCATAATCAAAAGGATTAAAATTCCAGCTGCTACAACCACATGGATTTACTCTACCTTAATATTTGTGTAACACAACAACTGTGTAATAATGGATTTAAACAGCGAGTGCCCAGTATTCCAGCAGCAACTCTACCTGCTCTGTTCCACCTGCTGAGCTGCTCTATATATGCACATTTTTTCAAATTCAAAATGGAATGCCTGCATCCCCTCCAATCACATACCCTCAATCTCTTGGGCTATAAATGATTATCTTTTTATCTCAAGTGTTTGGAAATATACACAAACAAACTCAATCTAATCTTTATCTTCTAGTCTTGTATAATCACAGCTGGTAAAAAGACTGCTTTTCCTCCTCGCTATGAGATTTTTTTCTTCAGACTAACAATACTTATTTCAGTAGAATCTAAGTTTTTCTCTTCTAAAAAGTTTTTATTGCTTACACTTTTGAAGATATTTTGCCAACAAAAATAACATGTATTTTGTTGCAGCGAGATCTGGCCAACTTTGCAGGTAAACTGATCTTGTGTTTCTGTTCTTCAGATCTTCATAAACTGCATCCAAAACTGAACAGAATCTGTTCAGAACCCTATGGAGTTACACATTAACAAGAGCTTGGAAAAACCATCAGTAGAAGCAGCAGGCAATAAACTGGTCACTGAAGAAGATGGCACTCAAAAAACAAAAGTAGGGACCAAGCTTCCTTTGCCTCACCCAAAAGTTAGCTTTTCCAAAGCAAGATCTAGAAAACGTACTATGAAAGGAATCCTGCTCATCTGAAGTGGCTCAGGGACACTGCCAAACTCCTGGCCTGCCCTGTCACCTTTCATGGAAGTCTCTGGCTAGGAAGTTTAAATTTTATTGTTTGCAAGAAAAACTTCACACCATATTCTTGAGAGGGTGCATGCATCTGTTGAGAGTAGGTTGACAAATGTGAGAATGAGATGCAAGAAAAAAACCAATGGAAACAAAAACATTTAGAAAAAAACAAAGAAAATATGGGAGGAAGAGACAAAAAAAAGAAAAAAAGGAGAAGAATAACTGAAGACAATTCAGGATTCATCAGAGGACAAAAAATGAAAGGGGGCCAAAAAAACCCGAACAAAACAAAACGAAAGAGAATTTTAAATTTTATTACTGAATTATTGACAACCAATTTTCAGTAAAACAACGTTACAGTTAAATACACAACAGAAACAACCAAACCAATCTGTTCTTAAACTGTGCAATGCAGGGTGGCATAGGTATTTTTCATCTCAATTAGTTGGCTCAGATCCTAGGTAAGTAATTGCTGCCTAAGCATTTTTAAATTCTACTTATAAATCGCCACTTCATCCTTCCTGTAGACAAAATTTTATTAATTTATGTCTCAAAGAGGTAGTTATAACCTCACCTGCCTCTATGGCAGTAAAACTATGCTAGTATTTCAAACACGCATTACAACTAGTCACATTTTTTGTTATAAATAATTATTATTAACTAGTTCCTGAGCCCATCCATATTTTACGTTCTAATGAATATTTGTATGTTATGCCTCACTTTTCTTTTGTTTTTGTGAAAATTGCCTTTTAAAATAGAATTTAAAGATAAAAGAAATGAAAAAGAAACTGACTGTACTACTTTGCAACTGGACCCTCCTCAGCTGATGCTTTTGTCTCTGTAAGAAATCAACTTAATCTTACTTTAAAAATTCAACTATTTCTGTGATGGGACTACCTCACACAAATTCAATTTATGAGCCACCATTTTAAACCAATGCACTAGGATTCCCTTAGGCTTACAGTACTTTTGTGACCTATTTTCCATGTAATTTTGACTTCTTATCATAGTCCCCAAATGTATGCTCCTTGTCATGATCCCCAAACAAGAAGTACAAGGCCTTAATGTACTTTAGGCAACTGACTTCTACATGCCAATTATACCAGGGGAAGCTATACTTAGTGCATAGTACAGACATGAAAGCATTTTACCTGTTAAGATGGTGGCAAAGGGAAGACAGCTAGAGAGCCAGTTGATTTCATGTGTAAAGTCACTACTGAACCTGACCTGACCTCAGTATGACTCCTTGTGTTTCGCAGACTCTGAAAAAGATGAAATCAGACATAAAGGCTTTATTTCAGACTGTAAGGACCACTCCCTAGGTGCACAATCCTTCAAATAGGACAAGTACCTTATTTGGCACTACAGTACATTAGACATTTTGCAAAGTTCTACTTGCCCATAAATGGCTAATAATTCTTTCAATGAACAGATAAAATATATTTCATTATCAATCAAGATTGGACATTGTGATCTAAACTGATTTTTTTGCACAACATATAGATTTCACCTCTTGGGCAAGTCCAACTTCTGTTCTAAGTGATAGAGAATGTATTGCATCCTATGTTTATAACTTCCATTGCTTAATCTAGGAATTTTCATTTTTTGTTTCCATTTAAAAAATTGTCTAGTTTCAGCCTCCACATATTGGAAATTTAAATATCTGCCAGCTATATTTAAGAGCCTTCTGGTACCAACAAATATCCTCCCATTATACCTGTAACCGTGGATTACGAGTAGGGACTTAGGTCCCTGGCAGATATCACACTAAAGATGCAATTAACTAGTAAAGCAGTTCTCAACCTTTTGCACCTTGCATCCCCCACCAACCAACCATTTTGTCAAAAAAACCCAGTCTCACCATGATGAAAACAAAACCCCACTTTTTCCAAGTAGTGTATTTTTATGTTTACATGCATTTTAGTATTATATTAATCATTAATGGACATTTTCAACGACCTTCACGTCCCACTGGTTGAGAAACACTGAACTACTGGATCATGTTTTAAATAGTAAACCAGCCACACATTCATTCAGTTACAGTGCAATAAAACAGGGAATAAGCCACAAACTTATTACACACAAAATGAATGTAAAAATGTTGTAGCTGGTTTCCACAGCACCTTAAATTGAACGTATGACCAGCACTCCCAGGCTTAGAAGTGCACCAGAGTCCTTCAAGACTCGTGTAATCATGATCCTGATCTCTCCCTGCATCAGCAATAGGACCTGATTAGGATATTATTCCCAATGCCACAATCATGCCCCCTGCCATACACGTGGGGACATGGCAGGAGGCACGATCATTGGGATGGCAGATCAGATCCCATTACAGCTTCTGCTGAATGTTAGCAGCCTTAAGAGAACATTGAATGCTAGTGTGATACAAAATATGTGACCTAATCCCAAACAAATTTTTAGATAAACATCACCACCACAACACAGATACTCAGACATTTCTGAAATGAATACTAGAAAGGAAATATGAACAAAGGGAAAAAAAGATAGCATAGTGGCAGCCTTAACTGGCATTTATTTACAAACATTTTCTATCTCCTCCTAAAATCAGAGAGATAACCGCCACATAAACTAGTGTGTACCTATATTTATACTAATGAATACAAAGAACTGAATTATTGCACAAGGGCTGACATTTTTGTTTATATAATCAAAATCATAAATAAACCCTCTTGTATATATTTAACTAAGCTCTTAAGATGGTGTTAGCTTAATATTTTAATTCAGGTATGTTGCGGTAACAGAGCTGTCAAAACTTTAAGGCTCCTGACCTTTGTTTAATTATACACATTGGGCATAATATCTTTATATACTGTTTTTTTGTTATTTCTGCACAGACTTTCCCTGGTTCCCATACCAAAATGAGTAACTTGAAAAGCAAGCAAAAAGTGTCCCAAAACAATGTCCCCACTGACTGAGCACTGAAATGCAGGGGCTATATATAAAATATACATTTAATATGGGTAAATGGTCATTTGAAACCTGATCATTGTATTTAAATTAACAGTACTAACACCTCTTAGAGGCTCCAACCTGGACCCTGTGCAAGACACAGCACAAAAAATATAAAGTGCTGAGAGAAACTTTTGTCCCAAAAGGGATTACAGTCTATGTTAGGGATGGCCAACCTGCAACGTGTGCGACAAGTGGCAATCAGGGTGGGAGAAAGAAATAGTAGAACAGGGAAGGGACCAAAAAGCAAAGCAACAGATTCTGCACTCAGGGAGGATGTGGATGCACCTACCAAAAAGGTTGGCCTTCACTGATCTAAGGTTAAGACAAAGGATGTGCACATGTAAACAGCAAGATTATCAGAATCATAGAATCACAGGGTTGGAAGAGACCTTAAGGGACATCTGGTCCATCTTCCAAAAAGCCCAGTCTCCTTCAAAGAGGAAGGGGGCCTTGTAAACTCAAAGGAGATATTAAAAACTAAGAATATCAACTTATTCACTTCCAAACACTTCAGTAGTATAAAAACATTCAAATCACTCACTCACATTCCAGTGTTTTTTCCCCAAGCTAGTTAAGTTTTAAATCACCACAATTCTTAGACTGCTTTCACTAGTAATTTTTTCTCATTTGCAGGGACAGGGATGTAATTTAAAGCACAGGAAAAAATTAGATACTTTTCTATTAAGCCTTAAAAAAGACACCTTTGAGTTGGACAAATAAGACACTGAGGCCCTGAAAGTACCTGTAAGAATGAACGTCAGTAGTGTTAAAACTGAAGAGCCAAGACATCATATGATTATTAGGCATATATTTGACAAAACACTGCTGAGTGAATGTTCAAGCACCACATTTTTCAAAACACTCCCCATCTGACAGAACCATCTGAACAAAGACTTGGTAAAAAAAAGTGTATAAATATTTATGGAACATAATGAATCAACAATTTGTGATATCATATATCAGGGATGGTGTGGGCAATTATTTGGGCTGGAGGGCCACTTAAGGAGTTTTGGTGAGCTGCTGCAGGCTGGGAAGGAGGGGAGGTGTTGTGGATGGGAGAGCAATTGATTGCAGCTCCGCCCAGGCCCTGTGCTGTCCCCACCCTGTAACCCTGGCCCTGACCGCCCACTGCAGTCCTATATGCCATCCCTCTCCTGCGTACACGCTGCCCACAGCAATCCCTGGCTGGTCTCCATGGAGACCCCACCCACCCACCTGCTTTGTCCGGCATCCCTATGGGGCAGATGAACCAGGGTTCCAGGCAGCAGGGCCAGTGGCAGAAGCATTGGCGGCAGCAGCCAGGCAGAGGGAGCCACCACCACAGGGGCTGCAGGGAAGCCACGTCCAGCCTCTGTGCACCTAGGGGCAGTGGGACTGGCCACCTGCTCCACAGCCTAAGCTGTCCCCTGCACCTGGACCAGGTGGGGCTGAGAGATCTGTTATGTACCAGACATAATTCCTCAGCAGGCCAGATCTAGCCATATTTTGCCCACCCCTGTCATATATTTACTAATTAAAATATCTTTCCCAAATGCCAGCAGATATGTAACTAAGATGTAGTTTCCACAGACTCTAGTTGAAAAGCCCTATTCAAACCCTTTTAAAGAATGGTGACAATAATGACTCAGCTAAAACCAGTGCTTGATTGCTTTATGGCAGTGGTAAATAAAGCACAGCCCTTAAAACAGTGTTATTCATTACTGAAGTGTCACTCAGTCCCCTTACTTCACAACATTCTGGAAGAACCAGTGACCCTGTATAAGACACACTTTAAAGACACAGATTTGGGACTTCTTAATTACTTGAATTCACTTCAACTAAGAGCCTGACATTAATATATCACTAAAAAAAAAAAAAAAGAGGGAGAGAGAGAATTTTTGGCACTCATGTTAAGTTTAAAAATAAGCTGTTGCAACAGGTATCAGTAATTTTCAGTGAGCAACCTGTATCATGGATCTTTAATTTTTTTAAGCTGAAAAATTGGAAGTGGGGGGGGGTTGGTTGGTACAGAAAGCAGTATCTCAAATTTAGCCCACAGTATCTCTCATGCTTGGTTTTTAAATTGCCATTTGACAGAATGCTATTGTTCATAGCACCAATTGTGAAATAACTATTTGCCTTTAGTAAACAGTGTTTTCTACTAAATTATATCCTCTCTACCTATTAAGGAATGTTTATGGCATATCCTTTAGATTCATCAGTACTGCCTAGTATTACAACATAAAAATATTCAGACACGATGTCAAAATGCTCATAACAGTAAAAGCCAACTTTAAAAACCCAGTTAATATTAGAGCGCAAAGTCAAACACTCATAAGCTTGGACATGTCAGAACTTAGGATGCAGATGCAACCATAATTCAGAGGCCTGTGAATACACAGCATGATATAGTTAATTATGTGATTAGATACTTTTCCACAGAACCTCCACTCATTCAGTGCTGTGATCAGAGAATGAGACAGCCTGATGAATGTATTTTTTATCACCAACTAAAGGCTTCCGTACACAACTGATAGCTTTACAACCAACAGTTATTCATTTCTGCATAGCCTTTTCCAGGGTATTTTTCAATGTGGTGTCCGACTGCCTCCCAAAGATGAGTTTACCTCCAGTAAAAGGAAAATGCATCATTATCCTCATTATACAAACAAGAAACAGAGACTTGCCAGAGGTCATGCTCTGAATTAGTGATATAGGATTAGGACTCCCTCCACCCATCTGTAGCTCACCCCCTCTGGCCCATGATGGCTTAATGACAAAGATGCTATATGAGAAAGTAGCCAAAAATGCTTTCTAGTTCACGTGGAAATTTTAGTGTTCTGAAAAGATGGTTAAAAATCACACAAAAAACATCATATACAAAGAAGACCCAGAAACTCCCTGGACCTGTAGCTGCCAGGTATCCAGGTAGGGACCCTGCATAAGGAAGACTGCAAAACCGAAGACCTTTCATACTCATCATATGGGGTTCTGGCATTTTCTAAGGCAGGGCTGTCAACAATACAGCCTGAACATTCATAGGTGCTGCCTATGGGTTTTAGACTGGACATGACTCTGGGTCTGGCCTATAGGGCCAGTTTCGGGCACGTGCGCTGGATCCAGTACACAGGGCTGGTCTGTGGACCTGATCCAACCCATAGGGCCTGATGAGTTTGACAGCCCTACTTTCAGGAAACTGTTTCATCAGAAAGTTTCTGACCAACTACAGAGAAAAGTGCTGAGTGGCTCAGCACTTTCAAGCCCCAAGCACCTCCAGTGGGGCACCTAGAGAAAAGAAGAAAATGTAACTA